CTGTAGTACAATCATGACTGTCCATTGAGAATGGGCAGGTTTCTGTAGTACAATCATGACTGTCCATTGAGAATGGGCAGGTTTCTGTAGTACAATCATGACTGTCCATTGAGAATGGGCAGGTTTCTGTAGTACAGACTCTTCGCAGGAAGTTCCATTATAATTTGATGATAAAAAGTAGTTATTTTCGGAGAATTGTACAGGTGCAATACTTTTTCAGTATCATTAGCTATGTGATTGTTCTTGTCTTTATACTACGAGCTTGGCAAACTAAATACACGTAATCTTCAACTGGGCAAGCAGATGACCAAGGTTGTTTGGGAAAGACTCAGGGCCTAACTGGAAATACGGAACTAACAATTAAATAAAATGTTAGGTTATTTTGTTCCATATATGGATGCCAAGACACCAAAAAACTTTCTTTAGAGATTAAAATTGGTTTAATCAAATCTTTTCCGTGTATCGTTACATAGATTTTTTTTTTTTTTCGTTAAACATAGATTTTAAAGCATTTGGAAAAGAATATGCTCGTAGTCACCTAACCCATACCTGCTCAGAATGTGCATTTATGATTTTCCTATTTAGCTACTTTCAAGTTCTCAATAACTATAAAGATCAGAAAAACCCAACCTGCTGCCACCGTGGATCTGACTCATGACAGCGGCCCCTCCTGTCTTGGAGTAGAACTGTGTTCTGTAAGATTCATGTTTGCTCAGTGCTGAGAAGATGCACAGTGCTGAGAAGATGCTCGGTGCTGAGAAGATGCTCAGTGCTGAGAAGATGCTCGGTGCTGAGAAGATGCTCATTGCTGAGAAGATGCTCGGTGTTGAGAAGATGCTCATTGCTGAGAAGATGCTCGGTGCTGAGAAGATGCACAGTGCTGAGAAGATGCTCGGTGTTGAGAAGATGCTCATTGCTGAGAAGATGCTCATTGCTGAGAAGATGCACAGTGCTGAGAAGATGCTCGGTGCTGAGAAGATGCTCATTGCTGAGAAGATGCTCGGTGCTGAAAAGATGCTCAGTGCTGAGAAGATGCACAGCTAAAGCATAAGCCGTGTCACACTGGTACTTGTATATCTCAGTGATCTCTATTCACAGCAACAGCTGCACCGATTCAACTGTTTTCTACTGTGCAGTTTAGTGACGTGGACCATATTCCTCGAGTTACGCAATCATTGTCATCCTCCTCGCCTGAATAGTGCCGACCCCGTCACATAAATTCACTGCCCCCTCAGATATCTGTCTAATCTTTAGAGTTAACCATTTGATCCCATAGAACAGAATGCTTGAGAACCTCACTTTATAAGTTAAGGTAAACGATTCTTTGGTCTGTCAGTATTTTTATTATGATAGTATTAAATTTATCAGTGAACTTACAGAGAATTGATTTCTTCCTCTCTTTTTAAAAATACATTAGCTCTTTTATTCAGATGGCAGCAGTCTGGTCACACATGGTCCTAGAACATTCAAGTAGTAAACCAAACATACAGAGATTACAGACTGGTCTTCAAACACCTAGCCAGTGTTGTCACGCTTAGCCTGGAATCTGGCCAGTGTGAAACCGCCAAGCCGTTCAGCAGAATTTCTCTAACTGAGCTGTTTGAAGCTGCCAGTTGGAGCCTGCTGACTCTGTTTTCAGCAGGGGTTGGAGGAATCAGCCCCACCTTAGCCTAGTACCCAGTGTGGCCAATTGAGGCTTCAAACTCAGCAGTGTTTACCATTAATGGAGCCTTTTCTGACAGGTTATGGATATACATTGGGCCATGGTTCTAGGAGATAAAGACCGTGGTCCCCCAACTGAGAATGATTTCTTTAGGACATTGGGACATCCTCTTCATGAACTTCATGAAGGGCTCTAAAAGACCCTGGCTTGGGTCTAGGCGCACTTTAGTTCCTCTAAGTGTAGAACTTACAGTAAACTAAATGTTAAAGGTCTTTTGGGGACAAAGTTGTCAGTGAAAATCTCTGATGCTTTTTGAGCACTTCAGTGTTAAACAGCTGTTGTGTGCTCTGCATACTACTTTACTTTGTCCCTGGTGGCAAAGTGGGTTAAGCATTTTGGCTGCTAACCCGCAGGTCCGTGGTTTGAGCCCCCAGCTGCTCCAGGGCAGGCAGATGCAGTTAGCGTCCGTAAAGATGCATGACCTCAGAGTCTCAATCTGCCCTGTAGGGTTGCTGGGACTTGGGTTGGTTTTGACCCTAACTCTCCCTGCATTGCATGTAGGGAAACTGAGGCCGGAAGAAGGGACCTTGTCCAAACTGTGGTCACCCTTTCTCCAGGGGAAAAAAACCCCACTTCTTTGTTCCTTTAGCACAGTGTCTCACCGAACTGTCTGCACAGTTCACAAGAAGACTGCTGCTTAGCTGGGGGTGGGGCGGTTAGCAGTGCAGCTGGGGGTCAGGGGCTCTCAGAACTTTCAGGTGACCGACATGACAAAGAGCTCGGATGACCCTGTGGGTCAAGCACTCGGCTGTGGACCAAAAGGGGAGAGGTTTCTGGGGCAGAAGATATGCCGCTCGGCTGCTGTAGACAACAGCCTTGGAAACCCCTCGCGGGCGGTGCTACTCCGTCCTCTGGTCACAGTGAGTCGGCGTGGCGTGACTGCCATGGCCTCTGAGTGAGGTCTAGGCTCATGGCCGAGTGCTGGGCGTTCACTATGGTGTGAGCACCTCAGCTGCCTGGTCTCCCCGCTGAGCTCCGATGGCTCCTGTTCTGCAGGTGAAGGCTGAGTCCCAGAGATGTTGCCCTGTGGCCTCAGGGGAAGGTCAGCACTGTGGCTCATGCCCAGGCATCTCTCACCTGAAGGCCCCGCGGTCTTCGCATCTCTCCGTTAGACAGGCACCCGAAGGCTCTTTGGGGGTAACCTTCCCTTCCCTTCCCCGCAGAGCCACAATCATGTCGCTGGAGGACTTTGAGCAGCGCTTGAATCAAGCCATCGAAAGAAACGCGTTTTTGGAGAGCGAGCTTGACGAGAAGGAGGACCTCCTGGAATCCGTCCAGCGGCTGAAGGACGAAGCTAGAGGTTAGGAGGACAGACAGCCCTGTCCCCTCAGTCCCCTTGAGGGCACCTTGTCCCATGCTTCAGCCAGGGTTACCTGTCCTGGAAACCTGCCCTGTGCTCTGCACACAAGGCGTCTGGCCCGAGGGTGTGGGGCCGGCCAGCTCCAGCTTTGGTTCCGGGGCCCAGGGCTAAACACGGCTGGTGCCCAACTGTGCAAAGGCCATGGTGCAGGTTCCCGGCCTTGTGTTGGGGTTGTGTTTCCAGGCAGCAGGGTTCCCTGCAGGAGAGAACAACACCCCCCCCCCCCCCACACACTCAGCACCCAAGCTTGTGCTGACAGGGAGAACAGGGCCATTGGGATTGCTCGCTAAATGATGACTTTTGTGGCCTGAAGTCTTATCTTTGAGCTCCGAGAGCTCGCCAGCATTTGTCCCTGGGATGTTAGCAGCCCCAGTGCCTGAGCTTTCAGAGTAGATCATCCGTGTTGGGTGCGTTAAGTGGGGTTCCCCAGTCCAAGTCATCGTTTACAGCCGTTAGTGTGGTGTCTGCTGTGGAGCCCGCAGATCGGGGATTGGTCATTGCTCCTCAATGCCCATCAGTAGTAAAGGGGTCATGTAAGCCACACTGATCCGTTTGGTAGACTATTAAGCAGTTGCTAAAATGAGCAGACTCACGAGAAGGATCCGCCCTGGCCGGTTGTTATGGCGGGGAGACTTGGAACACTGAGTGTTTGGCGCATCTTCTGTGTTAAGTGAATCTGCGTGCGCACGCATGCTGCAGGTCTGAAGTGCCAGAGAGAGGACCAACCGAGTACTCAAGGATGGTTTCAGTGAGGCTAAATGGAGAGAGCAGTCTCTTCACAGAGGGTTCTAGGTGTACGGCTGTGCTAGAGTTCCTTTGTTGTTGTCTGAGAGATGTTGGTGTGTCCCTGCCATTGATTGGATAGTTTAACATGTAAAGCTTTTGTCGTTCTTTTACTCCACATAAGATCCTGCTTGTTTGGGGTTGTTCCCACGGGTCCCTGAGGGTTCTCCTTCATGTCGTTTCCCCCCCTGGAGTTCCCCACCTCCGTGTCTACTGTTGAGCCCCAGCCTGCCCACCCCAGACACCCCACACCAGGCCTGAGCCTGCAGAGAGAATGACCTGCCCGACCCCTGACTCGGTGCAGATTTGCGGCAGGAGCTGGCCGTGCAGCAGAAGCAGGAGAAGCCCTGGACGCCCCTGCCCAGTGCACTCGGAGCTGAGAGGACGGACACAGCGGTCCAGGCCACCAGCTCCCTGCCCTCCACACCCGCTGTTCATCGCGGACCCAGTTCCAGCCTGAACACACCAGGGACCTTCAGACGGGGTAAGGGGAAGGCTGCAACTGGCGAGATGTGGCCTACGTCTCATGAAGCTTTCTGGGGTGAGGCTGGGTGAGAGAGAGGATTTGGACCAGGCTGCCCAATGGAGAGCACTCCAGGCTGTGGGTCAGGCTGCCTCTGGGGAAAGGAGAGCCCTCGCTGCTGCTGAGGTGTGAAGGAGGCCCAGGCAGTGTAGTCTGTGTCACCCCTCTCTTCCTCTCCTCAACCACCCTGGGGGGCAGCGGGTGGAGTGTTAGGCCTTGAACCAGTTCCAAGAACCTACCGTCCTCACCGCAGGAGAAAGATGAGGCTCTCCGCTCACTCTCAGAAGCCTTCAGGACCAGTCCCCTCTGCCCTAGAGGAAGGTTTGCCGTGGAGTCACAAGGAGTCAGATCGACTGATGGCAGTGGGCTTTAGAAATCTTCTCATTGCTGTAACATATCAGTAACCACATACATAAAAAGAGACAAAACATTTTGTGGACCCAACTACACACCCTTCCAGAGGCCGGCACCAACCTGTGGGCATCCACTTGTAGCCTCTGGTGCACAATCAGATCTCAGAAATTCTAGTGCTACCCCAGCCCTCTGCCGGTTGATCCACTCTCCGGCTCTGATTGGGCCACTTGACAGTAAATAATCGAGACAGACAATTGGACAGAGACTCACTGCACCAGGCCCTGGGTTTAGGTGCTATGCATGTGTGGCCTCAAGGCATCCTCACTGCAGCCCCAGGTGAGGTTGTTCCTCCTCCCTTACTCTTTCTTGGGGGTGAGGAGGTAGAAACAGAGGTAAGGCACTTGCCTGCCTTCAAACCGCTAGTGAATGGCAGAGTTGGGGTTCAAACGCTGGCAGGCAGTTTCCAGAGATCCTGTTGTCGTGGGTACCATGTTCTGCTTTACTCTGTGCAGAGCCACGAGGGCTCAGTGCGTAAGTGTTTGGCTGCCAAAGGTTGGAGGTTCAAACCCACCATCAACGAACTCTTTGGGAGAAAGCCCTGTGATCTGCTTCCACAGATATGACTTGGACACCCCACGGGGCAGTTTCTACTCTATTCTGTAAGGCTGCTGTGAGTTGGAATTGACTTGCGGCTATGAGGTCACAAGCCTTACCCCTTCTCTTATTACTCCCTGGGGTTGGAGAGACTGGTAAGATGTGCAGCCTCCCAGTCTAGAACTGAATGTGATTGGCCAGGACGTCTTGTGAAAAGACCACCGCCATGTCTAGGCTGGTGCCTGAGGGTCTCCATCGCTCTCAGGTGCCATGGGGTGATGAGGATGCTGTTTGCTCGTGGTCCCCACGTTGAGTAGTGAGGCTATGTCTTATAACTGTCACGTAGCATTGCAAGGATTTGAATACATGGTCATCAGACTTGTGGTGATTGCACAGTGAGTGGATGTGTGAGAGAAGTTGGTATTCCAAATTAAAGCACGCGAGGAGACATCAGCTTCCCTCTCCGCCCTCTGCATTCTCCTTGGGATGTTCGTGGGCAGTGTATTACTGTGGGTTGACGTCATCTCCCCTATTCCCGGCATTCCCAGGTCTGGATGACTCAGCTGGCGGGACACCCCTCACACCTGCAGCCCGAATATCGGCCCTCAACATTGTGGGAGACCTCCTGCGGAAAGTTGGGGTAAGACCAGGTTTGGGGAGGGTTCACTTTATTGTAATATATGGTTCTTACCTTTAATACGTCCTAGGATTCTTTATAGAAACTCAAGGGGTGTTGTCTGTGTGTGTATATAAGTATATAAACACACACACACACACACACACACACACAGGAAAGATGAGAGAAAGAGGGAGGAAGCTTCGGTGTGAATCTGATCTTTGATCTTAACTCTTTCCTTGTATCATTTTTTCTCCAAAACTGATTTAACATGCTGCTCCCTTTTCAGAGAAAAAAAAATTACCCAGCACCCCTTGGCAATAAAATCGTTTATACTATAGCCCATTATCTAGGATAAAGTGTAAATGTGTGCCTTTCAGCCCCGTTGGTTGGATCCCGTACCCCCAGGGGGCAATATCACTTACTTAGGGAAACATTAGGTCATTTGGAAAGTGTGAGTGATATCTATGCTTTATCTTAGTAGGAGAATACGGAGGGCATTTAAATTTTCTCTAACTCTTTCTTGGGGCGTCTTAAGACTTGAGAGGATGCAGCGAGCTTGACCTCACAGGTTTTATGCTAATTGATGGAGGACTTCTTCTGAGCTTCAGCAGTAGCACAGGCCGCATGGTACTCTCACTGCCAGCCCGTCTTGAATAGCGGTCATGCGATCGAAGCTTTGAGCTTGTTTGTTGCCCTTTTCCTCTCAGCTGCGGGTTGCCTGGCTGTCAGCTGTGCGGGCAGGTCTCGGTGCTGGTGCTCAGCACAGTTCCACGAGAGACCCTGGCTGGTCTTCGTGCCCCCTTGGTTTCTGCAGGGTTTGTGTACGCCAAACAAAGCCCTTGTGCATATCAACCAGGTAAACAGACGCGTGAGTGACCATGTGTTTCCACATACGTAATTCATGATCAGGTTGTAAACTTCAGGGTCAGTGGTTCCAGCCCCCAGGCTCCGTGGGCGGAAGATGAGGTGGCCTACTCGGGTAAGGTGGGCAGCCTTGGAAACGTAAGAGAGGAGTGGTCCTGCTCTCCCCCACAGAGTTGACCCAGCAGCAGTGGTGGTGTTTGTGAGTTTGGGGACAGGCAGGTGGACAGTAGGTACAGAAATGGCGTGGAGACCTTGGCCTCATCCGCCTTGAGGGCAATCCTGCAAATCAAGGGCAGCCAAGTGTGCTTCCCCTGAGGCAGAGGCCAGACGGACGTCTGCAGCCCGCCCTCTTACCACATGTGACGCCGTCTGTCCTCTCACCGTCCTCTGCTTCTCTTCTGGGTTGGATGATCCATGTCTGGCCACATGGGACTCAGACCCTTCTTTGTGCTGAGCAGTTTGTTAAGGAAGGATCAGGAAGCATGCAGACCAAGTCTCCCTTCTTCGGTGCCTCTAGCGCCCCCAGCTCTGTCACAGACCCTTCTGGGCCTCTTGCCCCTGGTTCAGCAGCTGGGCCTCACCATATATATATATTTGAAATACAGGAGAGGTGACTCAGTTTATTGTTTTCAAGTTGCCGCCATCATTCCCACATCAGACTCCAACCCTCATACCAGTCACACCCCTGAGGTGTGAAGGGAGCTCACCAGTCAGAGCTCTTAGGAAAAAGCAGGCTTGTACAGTCATCAAGCAAGGAACGCAAACAACTGGGTGGGTCTGGTCACTGCACGTAGTACGTAGTACGTGTGAGGCGGACAGCGTTCCTTTTACGATGCTGGAATGCAGAGATCTCAGCTTCTTGGGTTCAGTCTTGGTGTAAGATTGGTTAGACCCACAGTGCTGTGAGCAGGCTTCGTTTTGCTGCAGTATCATCCAGCTTGTGAAGCGGCTCTGCAGGCGCATGGTGCCCATCCTGCTCAGGGGCCTGATGCTCCAGCCAGAGCTGGGCTGCTTTGATACACCTGAGACACTGAGCAGTAGCAGGTATAACCATGAATAGCGAGCGCCAGGGCCCCGATGCGCAGGCCGCTCACAATGATCAGGCGTCTTCCGCCCCTGGGCCGGTTCCACCTGCCGCTTGAACTGCAGCTGTGCGGGAGTGAGCTGCCCCCAGCTGAGTCGGTGCGCTGAGCCACCACGCCCTTTCCACTGTTAGTATTTAGAGCAGCGGTTCTCAACATGTGGGTGGCGACCCCTTTGGAAATCAAATGACCCTTTCACAGGAGTCACCTAAGACAATCGGAAAACACATATTTCCGATGGCCTTAGGAACCAAGACCCTGCTCCTCTATCTGTCTCCAGGCGGGTCCGCCCACATGCAGATACACCCACATACGAGTACCTGGCATGATGACATCATCGCACCAACCCCATGACATACACCCCGTACAGATACAGGTGTATGTGACAGGGTTGGTGCCGTCATGTACTTATGCGGACCAGTCACACGTGTAGAGAGCAGCTACTGTGTTGAAAGCAGCAGTACTGTAGGTAAAACAACAGTTCATGAATTATGATTACATATTGTTTTAGTTATTAATCACTATGCTTTAATTATGTTCAATTTGTAACAATGAAAATGCATCCTGCATATCAGTTATTTACATTACAATTCATAACTAGAAAAATGACAGTGATGAAGTAGCAACGAAAATAACTTTATGGTTGGGGGCCACCCCCACACGGAGAACCCTTGATTCAGAGGGTCACACCGCAGACCCTTTCCTGACTTCAGCTTTGCTAGGCGCTTCCTGCCTCTTCTCCGTCTGCTTTTCTCTCGTCTCTTCCTGCTTCTCTCCTCTGAGACGACCTCCGTGGAGGTGCTGCGCGTACACACAACTCCTTGCCTTCCCCCAGTGGGAGGACAAGTCTCCTTTCAGTGAGTCACAGATGCTTCATTTGCAGGGTGGGCCTTGGTCGCTTCATTTGCATAAGTATATTGACTTATCACAGTGAGGTGCATATGGCTTACAGGGAAGGCTGCAGCCCAGTCAGACAACGTACAAGTGGTTTACAGTTGATCCAGGATAAGGATGAGCACTCCTCAGTGCGTTAGGTGGGAAATCTTAAAATTGTGCCTCCTAAGAGGCAAAACACAGAAGGCCACAGAAAGACGCCCAGTTCACAATAGGACCGAGGGCATTTCAGATGTGTAGCTGTATTGGGCCATTGGCTCCGAGACTTGAATGTATATTGCAATCCCCTGGTGTCTCACTTGAAAGAGTTCTAATACACAAGTTTTTAAAATCACTACTTTCGGTTAGTTTTTCTATGTGGATTCTATTGAGAGGAGAATAGTTTTTGTCTTTTGTATGAGATGAAAGCGGATGTCTTAGAATTCTCTAGAGACCCAGAATTGGTGAAGGATAGCGGTGTGCCTCCATGAGAGTAAATAAAAATCTGCTGATGGCGGAAGTTTCGGTTCACAGGTTTATTCCACACAAAAACGTTCCAGCGGCTCTGCAATCAGTGGATGGCTGCGGATAAGTTCTTTGTAACACAGTTGTCTTGTTTGTAACACACTTGTCCCACAGGGGAATCTTCAATCAGGTTCTTTGTAACAGGTTGTCTGATTTGTAACACACTTACCTTAGTCTCGGGGGGTGTCTATAAAACAGTGGTTTCCATGGGGATCTGCGGGGCCAGGCTGAGTCACGTTCAGGAGTGACCAGCCCAGAAGGTCATGGCAACTGTGTATCTTTTCCCTCAGAAGTAGTCAACTTGATACGTTTTCCTAAAAGATACAGGGTGATCACAGGGGCTTATTAATATATTTTTAAAAAGTTGAAAACTGCATTAATGAGGAAAAGACCAGAAAAGTTGTCATGAGGAATTCTCACCCCCCCACCCCCCCTCCACTGGGTCACGACAGTGCCTGTGTTCATTCTTGGAGAGTAGCGAGGGTTGTCTTATGAGGATTTTATTGGGAAACTACCCCATCCACCCTCCAGTCTTCATCTTACCCCTTTAGACTTCCACGCCCCCCACCCCCCAAACTAAACAAGCAAGCGTGAGAGGAAGTAGGTGAGTGCTTCTCACTAACACAGGGTGAGCAGGAGAAACTGGGTTCTTCAGTGGAGGGCTAACGGGGGGAAACACTGCCTTCCCAAGTGTACGGACCTAGAGGGAGGAGAAGCTGAGAAACAGCGTTTCACTGTTTGATATTTTCATTTAATAAGGGATTCTATGACTTTTAGGCAGTACTGTATACACACGTGCATCAACATATGTGTACCCAGAGAGCGAAAGGGGGATTGGCTCACACAATTGTGGGGACTACGCATCCCAGCATCTATAGGTCTGTGCATCAACATATGTGTACCCAGAGAGCGAAAGGGGGATTGGCTCACACAATTGTGGGGACTACGCATCCCAGCATCTATAGGTCTGTGCATCAACATATGTGTACCCAGAGAGCGAAAGGGGGATTGGCTCACACAATTGTGGGGACTACGCATCCAGCATCTATAGGTCAGGCTTGTCTCCCAGGATGTGTGGGTCAGGCAGTCGGCAGGGTGCAGGGCCAGGAGGGTGAATCCTACCAAGATCTATTATCTGCAGTGCAAAACCCCAGCCGCTCCTGGGGCAAAGGCTGTGCTTTCTGTTCACGAAGCGTTGCAGTCTCAGGAACTCAACGGCACTTCTACCCTGTCCTTTAGGGCGGCTACGAGCCAGCAGGGACACACGCCATGGCAGAGGGCGTGCAGCCCACCCCACTGTAAGGAAGTCCTTTCAACTGTCTGGCTGAGCCAGTGAAGGAAGGTGTCTGTTAGACTGCAGTCTAGTGTTGGGACAGATCCCTAAGAGTTAGAGCCTGTTGTCACAGCACCGTGGACACCCCAGCGTGACCGTCACTGCCTACTTCTCTGCAGGCACTGGAATCCAAACTCGCGTCCTGCCGGAACTTCATTTATGATCAGTCCCCACACCGAGCCGGTGGTCCAGCCTCAGCACGGGGGAGCAGGAACAGAGATGGCAGTGACAAGCAGGCCAGCAGCACCAGTGTGCCTTTGGGGGACAAAGGGTTAGTACCTTTTGATACATCTGCTAAATACTGGGGAGACCTGGCCTTTGTAGGGGGAGGCTGTAGCCAGTTTTCTTATTAGATCAGCATATACCGTTTTTGTCTTCCCTTCCTTTGGAGCCAGAGTTGGTGGTGCCCTCTGGTTTGGGCAAACAGGCAGGGGAGAGTTGTTTTAATTTTTTATTCTGCAGCCCAGACTTACAGTCAGCTAGGAGCATGCCCTTTAGATAGTGCTTGTTTGGATCTCCAGGGGTGGGGGCTAGACAGACAGACGGAGACACACATTGCTCCTGACTCTCATGCTCTTCCGTCTTAGAACTGGTGTGCCTGTTGCAGTTAGTTTGTAACCATGTCGACGTCTGCTGAATTTGGTTTGCTCTGTCTGAAGGTTGGGGAAACGCCTGGAGTTCGGGAAGACGCCTTCAGAAGCCCCCTCGCCATCTCTGCCGTCAGCCCAGGGCGTAGTCAAGGTGCTGCTCTAGGAGAACCAGGGGCCGGCGCTCACGGGTTCTTACTCCTCTTCCACTTTTCTAAGCTCCTTTTTTTAATGTTAAGTGTATTTTACTATACGCGTGAGAACAAAAAAGCTGCGGTTACTACAGTTGCTTTGTGCTCTGGATTCTGTCACCGGTGCTCCCCGGGAAAGGTGGTCTGCTGACCCCAACCTTGTTGAGAGTTGCCATGCAGTCCGGACAGGATGGGGGCCCTCTGGGAAAAGGTCGAAAACGTGGGTGATGAAACCAGGGTTTACTATTAACCCAGAATTCTGAGTGGTCCTGAGAGGAGGCTCCTTAAGTGTAGATGTCTCTCACCCCTCACCCACACCCAGCTGGGATTGTCCAGGACAAAACCTCCCGTGCTTTATGAAGGTATAGTAAGGACTGGTGGACTCCAGTCAGGTCTCAGACTGAAGAATGGACAAGACACGCCCTTCTTAACCAGTGGTCGGGCCCCTGGGAGGCCCAGCCACCCGCTTCTCCTTGTCGAGTTGAGAGTGAGTGATACGGGTCAACGTCTTGGTGACTCGGGGTCCGAGGGTCTCTGTGTCCTCTTGAGGCGAGTCCCAGCCTGGGGTTCTCCTGAGTTGCCCCCATTCTGGACCTTGAGGACCCACGGGGCAGAAGGCCTGTTGATACTGCGGTCCGAGGACAGGACTTCATTCAAAGCCATGATCAGTTATGGAGAGAGAGATGAAGACCAGGATTGTTGTTGGAAGCTGCCTTTTCAAAGAGGAAACACACAGGCCTCCCAGCGCTTGAAGTGTGTAGCCACTCTCAGTGCCCACCACTGGACTTGACTGCTCTCTCGCTCTCTCTCTCCCTTTAGATTCAAGTCAGAAAAACCCTGCTCCGATCAGGAGCATGCTCCTCACTTAATGACCTCCCTTTGGCTCTTAAGTTATTTTCCGAAAGACCAGCCAAAGTGTCTAAGTTGTAAATAGAACCTGCTAAGCACTACTGAAAGCCAACAGAAGTTACACCTCCTCAGTGCCAGGTTTGTTATCCTAAGAAAGTTCCACAACTTGCATCCATCAAAGAGAGGCTTTTATTTTTTTAAAAGAACAATAAAATCAAGAGAAATGACTGTTGGTGGTGGTGTTTAATTAATAATTCTGCTTCGTGTGTTTGGACTTCAGGGTGTGCACACGGCGGTATACACTTTAATTTTTAACCACATCGCTACATAAATCGATGGCACTGTGTTTTAAAAGCCTGGCTTATGTCCCTGTATGGTCAGAGGCATGTCAGCACTCGATCATTCAGGTGAGTCATTCTAAGTGCTGGCGTTTCCCCTCATCCAGATCCTTTCCAGCTCTGTGGGTTTGCATCTGGAAGCATCGGTGTTGGATAGAACTGCTGAGACATTAAGATGGAGGGGGTGAAAAGGGCCCACAGCCTGTCCTTATACATTCCCCAAGCAAATAATGGCTTTTGCCTTTTTAAAGAGTTGTTTTAAAAAAAAAAAAGATGGCTCTGTGGCAGGGACCACGTGCAGCCTGTGAAACCTGAAATACTTGTCCAGCCTGTGCTGAGAGCTGGCTGACCTCAGCCGCAGGAGGAGCAAGCTTATCTGTCACCTTCAACATGCACACACCTTTTGCACTCCTCATACCAGGAACCTGTGGCTGCGAAGGTTCTTCCGGGTCCTCCTGGGCAGGTCCACTGGGCAGTGCCAGGCTCATCCCAGCCCATCAGCCTACTCTTCTTGCCCAAAGCTACTCCCAGCTGACTGACGGGAGCCGCCCCCCGCTCCCAGGCATCACTTCCCTTCTCAGTGTCTTTGAGGAACAGCTTGAGATCTAGGCGAGGAGACGAGTGAGAAGGCGCTCCCTAGGCCTCTGTTACCCCACTGATGAACTGGGAACCCTGCCCCGCCTCGGGTGGTAGGAAGATTAAACAAGAACATACCACCCCCACCCCCATGCATGCACGCACGTGCGCACACACACACTTTTGCTCAGAAGACAGGTCGACAGAAAAGCCCACCACAGTCTAGTGATGTATATGTAACCTTTTATTAGTGAAGGTGCCCTTAAGCACAATCAGGTGCGTGTACAGCAGTGCAGCTCTCCTGCTTTTGCCCGGCTGAGGAAGGCACTTGGTCTGGGTGAACTGTGTGAGTCACAGGTGTGCTTACCAGGAACGGGGGTGGGGATTCTCAAATAAGGACGACTCACGGGTCCAAAGGACACACACACAAGAGGAGGGGAGGGGAGGGGAGCAGGCTCCCATTTTGTTGGCGGCTGGGCTCGCTCCCTGCCGCCTGTAAACTAAGTTGCCCGTGATTGGTTACTGTGAATATTGTTCGCTGAACTCAATGTCTGCACATTTCGTCATGAGGGTTTGTGAGTGTTTCCTGTTGGCTTTTATCTTTTTCTCTCTCATCTGGTACATCATAAAACTTAAGTTTCCACCCCCAATACAGGGTGGTCTGATGTTCAGGGTGGTCTGTGTGGGTGTCTGTGGGCGTTGGAATTTGAAAAGGGATGTCGACAGTGCTAAGTATTGCCCTCTGGGCTTTGCTAGCTGGCTGCTGGCTTTCCGGCGGCGGCGGAGGTGGCTTTATTCACTGGCTCTGGTTCCATTGAAGTCCGAATCCCGAGAATCCATGTCCTCATCAGAACCGTCTGCATTTTCAATCACTCTCCGCCCGCCGGACCGTCTCGAGGGAACAAAGGAGGTCTCGTTGCCTCGCCTGTGGGTTGGAAGAAAACGTTCCCTTGGTAAACAAGTCTCCCCAAACGCTGGGACCAATTCTTAGTGGATGTTCTATTTTCTTAATTGGGGGCAAAACCACACACACAACTTCAATCATAGGCACACGTTCACGTTGCTATCAAATGCTGACCCCTTCTGAGGGCATTTCTCCTGCTGAAGTGGGACGAGAAGTTTTTTGAAGCAAACCCCTCTGCTTTCAAAAAGTTTGTTTCTCTCTGATCTGGGGCCTTTGTTCACTTTGTATTGTGGAAGGGCAATGACGATTCACTCCACCCCTGGTTTGTCTCCGTGCCCCTTGTGGGCGAGAGCTCTCCCCTGCTGGCATGAACTGAGTCCCACCAGGGAGACACGGACAGCTTTTCTCTCACGGTGGTCAGCACTGTGTGGATCACCGGTGCTCAGTGAGTATTTGTTCGAAAATAGGTATACATAGTGAAGGGATGTGTTTTAGCCCCAGCTGGTAGGACTCCCCTGTCTGGGTCTTTACCTTCCCCCTCCCTCTCTTCTCCGGTTCTGCTGATGCCCATTCTGAGCTACTGCCCAGGCTCTGATAGGGCCCATAGCACAGGCAGAGCTGGTCATATGATGGGCGGTTTGGGGAAGAGGGTGAGACACTGAGGTGGGAAGCCAGGTCAGCCTGCAGTTAACCTTTGCAGTCTGGAAGAAGTGGTAGCCGTACTTCCAGGCTGACAACAACGCATCATCCCTGGTGGGCCCGAACTGGAGCATGGGCTTTCACCCCTTTTGGGGTGTCTCAGAAGAAAGCAAACATTTTGTAACAAAAACAACCTGTTCACTACCCAGATGGGGAAACCCACCCACCTCAGTTACCGACCCTTGAATCAACAGAAATGACTCAAAACAGGTAAGACTAAGAGGCATAAGCAAGGCCTATAGATTCATGATTGCTGAGTGGGGAGACCCTCTACGAGCCTTTTGGGTGTGTGGGGGGCAGGAGCCCAGGCTGGTAAAGCCCGCCCAGCTTCAGAGAGCAGTGCTTCCCCACAGGGCAGCAATCAGGAATAAATACTTAAAGTTGTAGCCACCCCAACAAGAGAGTATTAAGCCACTCCACTAAGCTTCAGCTTCCTGAGAACCAAATGCCCAATGCTTACCCACTAGATGCACCTCCACGAGCCCTTTGGCATGAGGTTTTGGAAGAACTTGGGTCAGATGGAAGGGGACCAAAGTGAGGGCGTGCAGAGAACCTGCAGCAGCCGGCACTGTTGCCTACGTGGCTCTCTACACAGCTCCTCCTGCCTCAGCCCTCCAGGTACAAGGTGGTGAAACAGAACAGCCTCAGCAGGGTTCCCAAGCCTGGGAACCCTCGGACCCCACCTGTTGAGGCTCCAGGGACGCTTGTTTTGTTTCTTGGTTAACTTAAAAACAAAGGAAAACTCGCTGCCCTTCAGTCGATGCTGGGTCAGTGACCCTAGAGGGCAGGGTAGAATTGGTCCTCTGTATTCCCAGGACGGTAACTCTTTACAGCAGTCTAGAGCCCTGTCTTTCTCTAGTGGCTTCGAACGGCTGACCTTGTGTTAACAGCCCAACTCTTAACTACTACACCACCTGGGCTCCCAGAAGAGTTCAATGAACAAGAAGAGTCCAAGCGCCAAGTTTGCTCCGCTGATAGAAGAAGGAAATTGGGCCCTGCTTGGATGCCATTCTCAGAAGGCACCCGTGGGTGCTTTGTTTTTGGCTGAGCTGGGTTTTCCATCCTAGGCAAGGGCAGACTGGCTACATCCGCTGTGGGAAGAAGTAAGGGACCTCTCTACGTTTTCTTGCGGAGTCTGATCCTCGAGCCCTTGGAAGCTCTGCACGGACTCAAATTCTCCAGGGGCGTTAATGGTACCCCGGTCTAAGTTTGAGAGAGTAAAGACACCTTTCAACTTTGCCGGGACTGTTTCTCTCCAGCTGCCACGCCCTGCACGCTACCCTCGATTTCAGCTCCTGTCTAGGATTCCATGTCGCAGGCAGCAGAGCTGCTGGAAACCACGTCCTGATGCATTGGACGGACCCGCCCCCCCCTGCGCAAATGATACCAACACTCTTGCCAAGACTGCCTGCAGCTTTAAGTATTTGGGTAGCGATAGCAAAGTCGAGATTCTCCAAAAGAGAGGATGGACACCACTAGGACTTTGCCTCTCGAGGGCCGAGGAGAGGGAAACCATCTCCCTGGCTTCCCATTGAGCGTGTGGGGAACATCAGAGAAATGGAGACTCCCCTCTCTAGTACAGGGCCTCAGGAGCTTCCTTGGGCCTTGGTGTTCATTCCCCTGCCCTTGAACGTGCCCGTGAGGCTCCGCACAAGACACTGCAAGCATTTGGTTGTACAGTGCCCACCCTCACCCCCACCCTAGCAGCCGTGTCTGGCTCACGCCTGGCGCAATGCTAGAGCCTGCGAGACCTCACAGGGAGTGTTGCTTCCTTTGCCAGCACGTCTGTGAGCACTTGATTGGGTGGGGGCTGTGTGGCTGGGCTGTGGTTGTGGATCTGTGGGCCCTGTTAATTTCTGACTTGTGAGCCGGACCGGCCAGGTCAAAACCAGTCCAGTCTCTGGCCATGTTCTTCCCTGGTGGCATTACCCTGTCCACTCGGCGGGGATGCGAATCACATGTCTGGCAGTGCAGTCGAGGCCCGACACCATGCAGGTGAGAAAAAGGCAGGCCACACAGCCTTGAAAGTTACGTCCTACAGAGTGAGACGGGCCCTTTGTTGGGTGCCCTGCCCCATGCCCAAGTGCCCTGAAGAGGGGGAGGACAAGCGAGGAGGGCTAAGATTCACGTTCCTCTTGGTTTTGAATCAGTATTGAGCAAAGTTATCCAGCTCTTCAGATTTTGCAGGAATCTCACGGAAATTTGCAAGGGCCACAAAAAGAGGGGGTGAGGGTGGGGGGAGGGGCGGGGGCGGCGGCAGAAAGGAAATGGAATCTCAGCAGTGCACGCGAGCTGCAAAGCTGAAGCCTCGGTACCTGGCAGGTCATTGCGGAGTTTCCTGGGGGAGGGGGCTTCTGAAACAGAGAGAGAGTCCTTGGTGGTTACCAACCGCGAGGCTCACGCTCATTTTCAATCAGGAAAGACATTTGCTTCGATTAATTACAGGCACTTTAAAATCACCCTTACAACTAGACCCCTGAAGGCAGCAGGTCTTCAGAGATACTAGCACACAAAAAGACAGTTTCGTTTTCACTAAAGAGAACATGTCAGAAAACAATAGTATATATTAGCGGTTCAGGAGGGTGGTAGAGTGGGGGGGTGGGAGGGGGCTAAAGGGCAGTTGATACCAAGAAGTACAAGAAGTAGGAAACTACTGAAAAGGATGATGCCAGCAACTATACAATTACACTTGATCGAATGGAACTTTGGATGGTAATACTATCTGTAAGAGCTCCTGATGTCAAAGAAAGGAAGAAAGAACACATCTATCCTTCGGAGTTCCTCTTAGGAAGGCAGGTCGCTTCCTCCCATCACGGTCACCTGTTCAGGAAGGAAGAGGCACCTGAGTAAGCTCATCTGAAAGCTCACTTCGTGGAACAGGAGCTGACACCCCCGGGTCGGGGCCCTGCTGTGGCAGCTGCCTCACTTGGTCTTCATTACCTTTTGCAAATCCTGGTGAAGACGGCTGGCCCAGGCTTTTAAGAAGGGCCTGGGCTCAGATTTAGGAGTCTCTGGTGGCGGCAGTGGCTAAGTACTCGCCTATGAACCACAAGGCTGGTGGTTCAAACCCACCCAGAGGCTCCTTAGAAGAAAGGCCTGGTACGGTAGTCTGATGAACAGGCTTGAAACCCCTGTGACTCGCAGTGCTTTTCTGCAGCCCCTGGGCTTCCATGAGTCCGAGTGGATTTGACTTGACGGCAGTTGCTTGGGGTTGGGGGTTGAGATGTAGTTGGCTGGGAGACCTGCTTGGCCATTCCTTGTTCATGACCTGGCTAAGCCTGCTGACCTCACTCAGCCCTGCTGACCTCACTCAGCCCTGCTGCTTGGTTCTATGTACCGGAGACGAGATGCCATGTGTCTGCTGTGTACGGTGTGGGCTCGCCTTGGTCCCGGCAGGGGTGGTATGCTGGCACTGCCCAGATGGAGGTCGGCCCTCGGGGGATGTTCGTGTGTGCAAATGGAATCACTGGGCCCGAGCACCGGAGCTGTGAGGGTGGGAGTAGCTGACTCTCTCTCACTCTGCAGACTCGTTCTGTGCTGAGAACCCACCCCAAGGCTGCTCCTATTGTACCACTGAGCAATATTTCCATTATGGGGGGGGACCCACCTGCCTCTCCCTCACCCCATCAACACCCCCACCCCACCCCCATTGGCTTTTGCCTTGTCTCATGTGAGGTTCTCAAAGTGGATAGAGTTGACCCTTCAGGTGATTTTTTTTTTTTTTTATGATCCTAGGTCAAGCCCCCGAATAGCTGGATAACAGAGGAAGGGAAGGCGCTATCTGGAGATTTCTGAGGGAAGTGGTCGCAGGCAGTGGGAAGGGCCGTGGAGAGGCTCCCGGGCCGTGTGCGAAACGATCCAGATAGGTAATTCAGGAGGCAGTGGACTCAGAAGCACCTTATGATGAGGCCAGTCATCGGGAGGATTTGGCTTTGAGTGAGGTGGAGGGTCCTGAGCAAAGAAGGGCCGGTCAGACCTACACTGAACCGGGTTCCCTCTGGGTGCTGTGTCAAGGTCAGGCTGTGGTGTGTGGATGGTGTGGAAGCCGGACGCCCAGCCTGAAGGTCATTGGGTGGCAGGATCCTGGGCATGGAATGAGAGAGGAAAAGAGAGGCGGGCCACAAGGTTTGGCTCTGGGTTCACAGCAGCTCCTTCTTGCCAGTTGCTGAGCTGGGGAGGCCTGTGACAAGCGCTGCCCCGAGGGGCAAGGGGCTCCACTGGAGCCTAGGCCGGGGCCTGTAAGATGCCGATGAGCTATCCCAGTGGAAATACCAAGGTCTGGAGTTCAGGGAAGAGAGAGAGAAACTTGGAAAACAGGTAGGGTTTTAAAGCTTTGCTGCCAGGGACCCTTGTGTGGTTGGCCCTAACTCATGGCGACCTCATGGGAATGTTGCCTGGCCCTGCGCCGTTCCCCACAGTCAATGCACGTCTGAGGCAGCATTGCAGGTATGTCCGCCCATGTCCTTGAAGGTCTCCGTGGTTGTCTGACCCAGGAGACTGGCTGAGATGACAGGAAAGTGGGCAGAGAGAGAATTGAAATGAGGGCCACCCTGGCACCCTGTGGCAGTCCAACGCCAAGAGGGTTTAGAGATGAGGATCCAAGAAGGTAGGCGGGAACGCAGGTGGGGGGGGGTGTCCAGGGCAGCTATGAGTCAGGAGGACAGAGCCCAGGCTTCACCACCGTGGGACCAAGGCTTGGCCAGAGTGGGTTGGAGAGAGATGGAGGATTCGTGGAGACAGCAGCAACTCTTACCGTTTCCTGAGGAAGGGAAGCGGGGCCAAGAAGTATTTCAGGTGGATGGAGTGAGCGGGTGAGAGGGAAGTACGTGGTTGGTTCTGGACAGTTCAGCCACCCAACCCCCCAGATGAAACCACCGCTGTCCAGTCCATCCCGACTCTTAGGGACCCTGGAGGGTGGAAGGAAACTGCTCCGTGGGGTTCTCTAGACAGTAAAGCGTTATGGGAGCAGAGGCCTCATCTTCCTCCCTTGGGACAGCTGGTGGGTTTGAACTACGGTCAGCAGCCCAAGCCCTAACCTAGTGAAGGCTCTTTGTCCGTTCCCCCACCAAACTGGGGAAAAAACAACCTCTCCTTATGGGGAGATGGGTGAGAGGCACTGGGCGCAGTGGATCCTCTGCCCCGTTTAAAAGTCAGGTCATCAGCTGGAGTGGGGATGGCAGAGTTGTCAAAGGCATAGCTTCACAAGACAGGGGAAATGCCCCAGGGGCGCAGTGATGAAAGCACTCGGAGGCCAAGCCGAAGGTGGGAATCCAGGGGCCGAGCCCCCTGCAGTAAGATGTGGAATTCTGCTTCCACGGAGCTACAGCCCCGGGGTCAGGACTGACTCCAGGGGGGTAGGAAGGGAGGGAGGAGTGCAGTATCTGGTGGTCAAAGATCGGAGCGGGAAGCGAGCCCACGGTTGTGAGTTTTTCTCGCCGTGTCTTTCTGCTCATCTGGAGAAAGGCAGGGCATTAGGAGAGGAACCAGCAGAGGGTCTCATCGGGGTCCGGCTGTCTCTGAGCACAGCACAAGAGGGAGGGCCTGGGAGTCAAGGCTGCAGGTGACATGCGTCCCCAGAGCGACTAACCACCACGGGGCTGGGAGCTGGCACGGATGGGGAGCGAGTAAGAACACAGTGAGATGAAGACGGGTGTGTGTGTGTGTGTCTGGGGTGAGTGTGGTGCCAGTGGTGTAGTGCTTGGCTATGAACCCAAAGGTCAAGTCATTCAAGCCCACTAGCTGCTTTGCAGGAGAAAGGCAAGGCAGTCTGCTTCCAGAAAGATTTACAGCCTCAGAGACTGTCCTGGAGGGTAAGCTATGAGCTAAGTTATCAGTTGACATCGACCCGATACTCATGGGTTTGGGTTAGTTGCTGGGAATGTCCTCCGAGCAGTAAGACCATGGAGTAGAGGGCAGAGGGAGGGGCAGGGAGGCAAAGTCCCTGCTGCTAGAATCACTAGGTGTGGGAGGACAAACAGGAACCCGGGAGCGAAACGCCCCAGGAATAAAGAGAGGCTGAGGAGTCAGGGGCCCCCAGACCCACCTCTAGACCCAGAGGCCTGAGGGGTGTGGGAGATGAACTGCCCTGCTCTAGTGAGTAGGGCAGGTGTCTCAGCTGTGGGTGACTGCTGCAGGGGGACATCGGCATTGCCTGGAGGTGTGAGCACGTGCGTGCATGTGTGTGTGTGTGTGTTTAGTGGAGTGCCACAGGCATCTACTGGACAGAGCCCAGGGATGCTACTAAGTGTCCTACAGTGGACAGGGCATCCCAAACTGCAGTAAACCACCAGGCCTCAAAACGTCAGTAGTGCCGAGGCTGAGAACCCCAAGGTAGGGAAGCCAGCGAGCAGGCCCAGGGAACCTTGGGACAAGCCGTCCAGAGTCAGGGGACCTTGCAGTTGATGCTTCGATGAAGAAAAAGTTTCAGGAGGAGAAGGTTGGGAAACCTACTCTGCGAGCACCAAAGGGGCCGACGGGGGACCTGTTGGAGCACCCAGCCTCCCTGGGTGTGTGCTCGGTAACAGTGAGTACAGAAAA